CCCCCCCCCAAATTCCCAGTTGAGAAGCAACTTTTGTTATGATAATAAAAGAGTGGTTTATGTTTCAATCTTAAGAAGCAAATGTCCTGATGATGTTTCTTTTTTCTGTCACTTTGTTTTTAAGGGAGAGAAGATAGGTTGAGTAATGGATGGAAAGGGTGTCTCAAATTCCTGTTTGATTAAATCAGAAGGGAAAAGGGAGAGCTTATGTCCAATTTTCTTTGGTATTTCTTTGGGGTTGCTTGTCTGGAGAGTTCAGAGGGAAGAAGCAAATAATAAAAAATCTGAACTAGCATTACTTAAGCTTGAGAATGCACAGAAAAAAATTGAAGAGTTGAAGAGCTTAAGAAGGGAAGATGCTAAAGCTAATGAGAAAGTTGTTGGGATATATGCTGCACAAGAACAGTGCTGGTTCAATGAGAGGAAGAAACTTAGGCAGCAAATTGGTGCTTTTATGAATGAATTGAGAGTTCTTGAGAAGCAAAAGGATACAATTATTGCTGATTTGAATAACAAGCTGGAGGAGAGCAAAGTAATGTTGCAGTCAAAAGATAAAATCATAGAGGAAGAAGGGAAAAGGCATTATGATGTTGAAGAAAAGCTGAAAAAGGCTGAAGCTTTAGCAGAAGAATTGAGAAATAATGCAAAGTTTGATGCTCAGAGGCACTCTAATGAGATCTCANCAGTCAAAAGATAAAATCATAGAGGAAGAAGGGAAAAGGAATTATGATTTTGAAGAAAAGATGAAAAAGGCTGAAGCTTTAGCAGAAGAATTGAGAAACAATGCAAACTTTGATGCTCAGAGGCATTCTAATGAGATCTCTAAACACAAGACTGCATTCATTGAACTGGTGTCTAATCAACGGCAGCTTGAGGCGGAGATGGGGCGCGCCCTCAGACAAGCTGAAGCAGCGAAGCAAGAGCTTAATTCCGCACTGGAGCAAAAGGAGAAGTCGATCTTGATGACTCAAAAACTATCGATGGAGCTAGTTAAAATGCGCAAGGACTTGGACCAGAAAGATCAAATTTTGTCAGCTATGCTTAGGAAATCCAAATTGGACACAGCAGAGAAACAAATGCTTTTAAAAGAGATCAAATTATCAAAAGCCAAGAGAAAGCAAGCTGAACTAGAGATTGAGAAATGGAAATCAGCTTCAGAGTCTAGGTATGAGAGACATTCATTAAAAAGTATGCTGTACAAACGTATGAATCCAAAGTTGGAGATTGGAAAAAGCAGATCACAAAAGACAGATTATCTTATCGATGAGCAGCCTGAGTGTACAAAAGAGCCAGAACTATTTTCTCATATTTCTGATAGATTCTTTACTGAGGAGACTGAAGAAAGTAAGACTATATTACATGTTTCCTTTGTAGCTTATTTATCAATCTTGATTAAGGATGATATATTTTTTGCCTTTTCTCTTTCTGAATTTTAATATATGGAGTTGTTGTGCTGTTTATTTTATGTTGTATTCTGTATTCATTTCAATCTTTTTTGCAGTACTCACAAATGATGTTGAGGACTTAGAGAATTGGGTTCGATCAGAGGCTGAAAAATACAGTATTGCAGTTGATCAGAGGCATCATATGGAGCTTGATGCTTTTGCTGAACAATTGAGACTCAAAGATGAGAAGTTAGAAGCTTTTCGTTGGCGCCTGCTCAGTATGGAACTGGAATCAAAGAGGTTGCAGTCGCATATTGAAGTGCTGGATCATGATCTAGTTCAGCTCCGGCAAGAAAATATGAAGTTAGATGGATTGCTATTGAATCGAGAAGTAGAATTACAATCCTTCAGGCAACAACTAGCTGAAAATTTTCGCCGTCCTGATTCCCTGAAGTCCAATGCAAATGCTTGTCCAAAAGACGAGGACTTAGCCAATCATACAGTTTGGTCCAATGTAGCAGTTATAAAGACAAAACAAGGAGAGAAAGAGCAAGAAACAAAGAACCATCCTGAGGAAATATCTCAAAAGGTAAAGAATGGAAGAAAAGTTGACACCAGAACGAATAACCCCCCAAAAGACATAATTTTGACTCTACAGAATGGAGCCTCGGATATGAATGGTAATTCTAGGGCCGAACACTTCAGTATAGAGGATGCTCAGAATGGTGTATCATCAACTTCAGAAGGTGATAGTGATATTAAGAAGAAGAAATCTCTATGGAAGATGGATTTACATGCTCTTGGAGTTTCATACAAAATCAAGAGACTGAATCAGCAATTTATCATGCTCGAGAGGTTGACAGGAAAGCAAGAACGTCCTGGAAATAGTGAAAACAATGATAATGAACGATCTGGTACGAGAGGATTTAATGCATTGATGTCTTTATTGAATAAACAAGTTGCTCGTTACGAGTCCCTTCAGGGGAAAATTGATGATCTATGCAAGCGGATGGTATGTCTCAACTAAGTAGTAGTATATATTTTTGGCTTTGTCGAATATCTATTTTGTTAATGAATAATAAAGCGTAATTATCTTTTCGTTTTTTTGATAAGCAGCATGAGAATGACCTGAATGTAAATTGTGGAGGTTCAGTTACACGAAAAACGAAGGAAGAAACTAAGATGCTAGAGCAATTTCTTGAAGAAACATTTCAGCTGCAAAGATACATAGTAGCAACAGGACAGAAATTGATGGAAGTCCAAACAAGGATTGCTTCTGGATTTGTTGGAGCTGCAGAAGAGCTTGATACACCTGCAAGTTTTGATGTGAAGCGGTTTGCTGATGGTATTAGAACACATTTTAGGGAAGTACAGAGAGGACTTGAAGTTCGTATATCTCGAATTATTGGTGATCTTGAAGGAACTTTAGCCTGTGATGGCATCAACCATTTCAAGAGATAGTGCTGCGATCCAGCCTTCCAATCATGCATTGAGGCAGAATCTAAGGTAACATGGTGCAGCAACATATTTGTTGCAGCTTATTTAAAGAATGTGTTCTGTTTTTTATGGAACCAAACCATTGATCCAGTCCCAGATATACATGTAAATATCCAGCAACTATAAATTCCAATAATTCGCGTACATAGAAAATTGCTGCATCAGCTGTAGCACTATTAGTGTATCACCTATTTGGCCATTGTTACGTTTGCTTTCCATAGTTTTTTAAATGAATGAATGCCTATAGGGGTACGATTTGTGCATGGATCTCTTGGCTTTGCTTCTGTAAATATATGAGGAAAAGCAATGTACAGAGTAAAATTGCAGCACTAAAACAAACTATTCCTATACCTTTTTGGTTCATGTAATGTGTATAGGTAAAGCATTTAAATCTTGAACATATTCCAGTCTCTTTTTAACTTATTTCTCGACTAGAGGAGGTATCAAACCTTGATCCTGCAACATTACTGACTCCACGGGCGGATGTAGAATAATAGGAACGAGTTCAATTGAACCCATAACTTTCGATCGAGAGCATAAGTTTGTGCGTAAAAATCTATTAAAATGCAAAAAACATAAAACTTAAAGGTTGAACCTCTGAATTCTGACTCTTGGCAATATTCATTTCTCCGTTGCCATTTTTACGTATTCACACAAATCCAAGGGTCCTGTACAGAAGCAGAGGAAGAGAACATTTAAAAAGAATTAGTCGTCTTATATGCTATCATTTCAAATAAGAAAAGGTGCTTGAATAAGTCAAAAGAAAATTGGGAATCTTATTAGCTCAGATCGATTCTAGATTTTTATGTAATATAGCCGTCAAATTGGTTTGATTTGGTTTTCTTCCGTATCCTTGAAAAAAACAAATTTAATTTTAGGTGTAACAACAACAACAACAATCAGACATTACCCTTACCGTGGGTAGAGAGACTGTTTTCAATAGAAACTCGACTCTATCTCTCCAAGAACTATCCAACTTACTTTTGGGGTGTCTCAAACTCACAACCTCTTGGTTGAAAGTGGAGGGTGCTTACCACTAGAACAACCCACTCTTATTTTTAGGTGTAACTACACATGTGAATTTAATTAGCACTACTTTTAGTCTTAACATGTTTCCTTATTTAACCGAACAAATCTTCACATGACTCTCATTAGACGTAGTAAGTGACCAAGAAGTGAGCATAGAAAAGGGTTTGATCATGGAAAATACTTTTTATTCCCACCCGATGTACATTAAACCAAATAATTTAGCCTTAAAGTTACATATTGAGTCCATATTACTTAACCGTGATTAACTGATGAAAGTTTATATACATGCTACTTGCCCTGTATAATTTAATTTAGGATAAATACCAAGTGCGAGTAAGTTCGTTTGGTCATTGTCGAGATTTAATGGCCTTGGACCGGGGCGGAGCTTGGTGGACGGAAGGGTTTAGCAGAACCACCTTCGCTAAAAATTACACAGTTCAATTTTTTTCCATGTATATATATTATATGTTGATTCTTCTTAGTTTTCTCGTGTGTTTACTTCTTCTTTTTTACTTTTTGAATCCTCTTGATAAAAATCCTGCTTCTGTCACTGTCTTCGACCATTCGTCAAGTCTGCATCGTAGTGGGTTGGATAATAAACTTTTTTAAAACTTGTCAAATATGGATAAGAACCATATTATCCATTTAGAAAATGGATAACTAATGAATTTAACTTTTATATTTGTAAAGCCTCAAATTGGGGGTTCCTCAAGTTTGGGAGACTAAGAAATCTACCAAAAGTAATCATATTCAAAAAGTCATGGATAATATAAATATTCATTTTTTTTTGTATTAAATATAGATCTGGTCGGATAATTTATCCATTTTACAATATTCATTTTCGGCCCGTTCATATCTGACCCGACCTGCTCGTTTGTCACCCGTACATCAAGGTATCTGCTGTGACCAGTCTTTTCTTCTTGGGGTCGAGTAGAATAAATGCAGAGGGACCAAAGAATAAGAAGCATTTAATAGGTTGATCCGTGCCTGAGTTATCCAAATAGGATGTTATTCTCATATTCTTGGAGGTTGGAGCCTCTGTAAAATGTTTTTTTTTTTTTTGGGTGGAAATTAAGCCTTGCGTTTATCATTTTTAAGTTACTATAATAATAACAGCCTGTTTGGATGAGAAATAAATGGTAGAGCGATTTCGTTGTGGCAACTAAGATGTGACCAAACAATAGTAATGTGAGTCAGGGTAGATGGCTAAAGTATTAAGGCTGGGAAGAGACTTCTGGTCTTTTCATGTGCAATGGGTGTCCTGAATGGCTTGGAGCATCTTCTTGTGTCTCCTCTTTTTGAAACATCTTTTATTAGGTGTGAATTTTTATAGTTGTGATTCATTTATCAAATTTTATAGAGAAAACAAAAATATCGAGATATGCTTCTTGTGCATAATAAACCTAAGAAAGATTGCAATTAAAAAGCATAGAAATGGAGTTAATTAGCTCTCTAACAACTACTAAATCCATAAAGACGACGTGTCGACGACCACAAAAAAAACATAGCAGTTGATTTAATATTTTGTGATTTTCCCTAATCCTCATCAAATATAGCTAGTTGATTTAATATTTTGTGATTTTGCCTAATCCTCATCAAATATAGCTACTAGAAATTTTATCATGGGCATCTCCGTTGATCAATACTCTTTTACACCTTGTTTTCACCAAGCATTTGAATGTTATCCTAACTTAAGTGGATGAGGTTTGTAATAAACGTGTTAATTGTACATTATGCCTCTATAATTTTAAAATAAAAAAATGACTTTCTTAGATCTTTTATGTGTAAAAAACATATCTCTTACGTGTAAAAGTAAATCTCTCATGTGTAAAACAAGAGGTAGGGTCATAAAGCAAAAAACACGTTTGTAAAGAGTCACAAAACTGGGTATGGCTTAGTTTATGTGCAAATATATATTATGGAGAGAGATGTTTTCGTATTAGGTGTTTATACCAAACCAAACTAATTCATCTTATCAGTTAAAAGATAAAGTGAAAACATACGACTTGACCAAGATCAGATAATAAATATGTATATGAAAAATATAACTTGTATTCATTGATTAGTTTACATCAAATGTGGATTAGTTTTTACTCATGTACAAAGTGATAAGTAATCAACTTCAACCTTGATTTGGTATATTACAAAGACCTCTAGATACAGGGTCTAACATGGGGACAACGAATGTAAAATTAAGATCATTTTAATTGAAGGTAATTCTTGATGAATTTAGAATTTTCTTTTAAATTTACAAAATAAAAGAAAATACACTGTCGGTGTAATATAACCTGCATTGTGACACTGATAAAAACTAACTCATCTGCAATATCATACATCAATTAGAACTTAGAAGCGCCTAGCCGGTCGCTAACGATTCAATTTGGTCTATGTTTTGAAATGCTATTTAGGTTTTTCTTTCACCGTTATACGAACCTTACCTCCGTGACCTTTTCAATTACTAATATATTATTACTTCCGTCCCAATTTATGTATTGTGTTTGACTCGACATTAAAAAAAAATTAAAATTTGCGGTCTAAACTAAATCTTGATATTCGTGTGCCTATAAATCAATTCATTAAGGTAAAGTAGGAATTTTAAAGAAAAATTATTTCTAAATAAGAAAAGGTGACATTCTTTTGGGGACTGACTAAAAAGGAAATAGTATCACGCAAGAGATACTCATACTCCCTCCGTTCACTTTTACTTGTCTATTATACTAAAAATATATTTCAACTTTTACTTGTCCACTAAACTAAATCAAGAGAAACACAATTTTTTTTTTCTTCCTGTTTTATCCTTATCATTAACTACTTATTCCCCAAATTATTTTTTAAGACTTTTGGAAATACTATCGTTATTATGGATAAAATTATAAAATACATATTTCATTTATTATTATTTAAGGGGCATGAAAAGTTCAAAATAAATAATTAAAAGTGAACCGAGGGAGTACATACTAGCTTTTCTTTGTCTCGTGTCACCTTGTTAAATTAGCCGAACGGTTTATCTTCCTTTATTACCGGCTGATCTACTAACTATCAGGGCCGTTGAAAGTCGCTATCCTTTGTGTGCTTATGACTAATTCAACATCTTAAAAAATTGGTGGGTCCCCCTACTTTAAATAATCAAAATGGTCCCAACCCATTTCTCCTATTAGTGTTAAGCTACAAAAAAAAGATTCTACAATAAGAACATATCCGTTACTCTACTCGTGAATAAGAAGCGCCAGAGGAGCGTTTCAATTTGCACCTCCTCACATTTCATGCTTGACCCTTTTTTTCCCCCTACAAATATATGAATTTGAGGTATTCTAAAGAAGTTGTAGAATTCTCCATTATGTAAAATGGCATCTAATTCTACTCCAAAGCTTTCTTTATCCAAACTCCCAAACAAGCCAAGAAATAATAATATTCCTCTATCTACTCCACCAATTCATCCTTCAGTTTCAATCCCATTTCAATGGGAAGAAGCACCTGGTAAACCAATTAGATCTACACTTGATCAGTCAAAAGTAGCAAGGTGCCTAGACTTGCCACCTAGGTTGTTGAATGAAGCTAAAATTACTAATATGCCCTCGCCTACGACGGTACTGGACGGACCTTATATCGGTCGATCTTTTTCGTCGTTTCGAACAACCTATGTGGGAGAAATGGAAGTGCAGAAGAAATTAGACATGAGTAGTAATAAGAACATGAGATCATGTCAAATAGGTTCTTGTAGATGGGAAAGCTTTAAGGAAAATAGAGGAGGAGTTGTAAAGGACAATTTTGACTTTTCACCTCCTCTCAGTAGTACTTCAAGTGCTTATGATTTTGGTACACATGAAAAGAAACTCCTAAGGTTTAGAAGGAAAGGAAGTTTCTTGAGTTTCTCTCGTACAAATTCCAACCTCTTGGTAAGTGTCTTTACATCTCTTTTACTTTGGCCTAGCTAAATGATACACGTGAATAGTTTTTTGTAATCAAAGAAACTTTTAATCATATGATATTTTGGAATCATTGGTCTGGCAAACGGGTTTAATTTTATTCAAGTGTCAAATACTCTATTTAAAATTAATAATATATTATTACATTTTAATTGAAAATTATAAACAGGGAGGAATATACGAAAACTTTAAGCAGGCGATCCCATGGAGATGGAGACGGGCAAAAACGCAAAGAGCTCTCTGATCACAAGGAAATCCATATATCCTATCATTTCCACGTGTGGACTCGTAACATGGATAATTTGTGACTAA